GGTGTGTTGAATATTGATATGAGTTGTTGTAGGCCGTAATGGCTGAGTTGTTGTAAGCCTCAAGGGCTGAGTTGTTGTAGGCCTTAACGGCTGAGTTGTTGTAGGCCTTCACGACTGAGTTGTTGTAGGAGAATCTCCGAGGTGATATGCGTGACGACGCATTTATATCAAATTGCAGGTTGGTTGCATAAATTGAATGGATAGTAGAATGTTGTTGTGTTGACGGTTGAAGTTGTACTGATTATTAGAATTTTTGCTGTATGATGTTCTTTTTATACTAGCTTACCCTTGCTGTTTCCTTGTGGTTGGACTGCTATGATCGTATGATTTACGGGAGCAGAACAAGATTAGGTGTTTGGTTCGTGGTGAGTCGGCAGCTGGTATGCGGAGCTGGCCATGTTTTGTTGATATTTTGTTGTAATAGCTACTAGGTGTAGCAGTTGGCTATGTATTTTGCCAGTAGGATGTTTTTATACACTCTAACTCTAGTCGGATCGAGGCTTTGTATATTTTTATATTCTAGACCCTATAATTATATACTTGCTCTTTTTGTCTGGTGTTTCCGGTGTTTTGAGGTTTGGTGTGTAGTGACCGGTCGAGTCGTTACATAAGTTATATTAATAATTTTTAAAATAAGTTAATTAAAAACATTTAATGTGGTTTATTAAACACTTTTAATTACTAATTATTATTTTTTATATTATAATTTTTTAGTATATACTTTCAGACATTGGCTGATTTTTCTTTAACATTTTTTTGTCACATTTTTTTTATTACCAGATGAATAATACATGTACCATTCATAAATAAATATGTGCCAAAGTTATCTAATGGAACTTATAATATAAAATAGTAACTTTAATCTATTCCAATATTAGTTTTTAAAAATGTAAACTAATACTCATATTAATTTAAAATTATAAAGTAAAATGTGTAATAAAACGATAATATATTAATACATATTCAAGAACTATAATAAAAGTTAGTAATTAAATTTAAGAATTTGTTTAATATTTTAGAAATTAATTTTGCAATCTCTTAATTTCAGACATTAATATAACGACACACCTTTTAAATTCAAGGATCTATCAAAGAAAATATTTACTCTAATATAAAATGACTAAGTAATGTATCCATAGACAACTTTCACTAATAGAGTTAGCAGAAATTAGGTTTAACTATTGAAGTAATATACACGATATTTTAAATTATAGCCTTGTTGTGACCAATGTAATGTATACCAAAATTGGTATATATTAACAATATTAATGTAAACATCGTTTAATCACAAATTATTATAAATACTATTTTTTTTACAACAACTACCGTGTCATTCTTATTAAGAAACACATATAAATTGTAGTCAACATATAAATAGTTCGTTAATAAAAATTACTTTTAATACTTTTTCTTTCAAACAAAGTTATTAAATCTACCCTATATTATTGGATAAACTTTTTTTTTTACAAGTCTACGTACTTTATTTATAATTCAATAAAAAGTATATTAAAATTATGTAAAAGAGTATATTTCCGTTTTTTGGTATTGAATTGATATATATAATAAAAGAAGGGTTGGTGGAACAATGCAAAACGAAAAACATGAGCCCCTTCGTACAAAGCGTACAGCAGCACAACGATGAGTCAATGATAAAAAATTGGAAACGTACAACGCAGTGTATTATTGAAGATGACTAACCTTGGTCCACTTTTGTTTGTGTTGTGTTGCAAATACATCCATCACCCTTTCTTTCTAGTTGCCAAATAGTAGGAAGAAAATATCATTGGGTATTTTTTTAAATATTATTGCTATTGATAAATTAAAATATTAAATCTCAAGATATTCTTTGAGGTTATTTGTTGATGAGAGTAATAATGAAAAAAAATATTTTTGGTTATAAAAACAAGGAAAATTCTAAGGTTGACATGTTACCCATTATCTCAATGTGTGAAGGAGAAAATAATATGTCCAAAGGAATTGTAAGAGTACATAAACGTTGGGTGTATGGATGGATTGTGTTCAACTTGGTGGCTCATGTCCAGTGTTTTTTTTTTTTTTGGTAATGACTCATGTCCAATGGTTTAATTAAATAGGAATATTTTATATTTAATTCATATTATTTTAAATAAAAACTAGTGCCTTTGTTATTTTTATTTTTATTTATTATTTTTTAAAGTTTTTGTATGATGGCAAACACTCTTTATTATATTATTATCTTTGTAACCATGTTCCTATATTTTCTTAACTAATTCATAAAAAATTTTAAAAATTTGGTTAACTTAAATTTTTAATAATTTATATTATTTTTAAAATTATCTTCAAAATTATTAAGATTCATCTTTTCACTATTTTTACTTGATTGTTTTTCACTCAATTAATTAATATATCAATCATTTTTTTCAATTTTAATAGGAGAAAGATAATGTATCACATTGATTACAATAATTGTAAAATAACTAAATATATCAATATTTATATATTAAACAAGAACCTTTATCTTGTATGAGAATATTTTTTAGGACTTTTTCTCAATAAAAGAATTTGTAAATTTTTTTCAACTTCTTATCTAATTTGATTTTTATTTATCATAATTTTTTTATAAATTAAATATCAATATTTTAAAATAAATTATCAATAAATAAAAATATTTTTTTATTATGATGCAAATTATTTATCAAA